GGGCCAAGGAAGTTACACCTGTTCTTGCCGTCCTGGTTACACTGGTTCCAATTGTGAGATTGAAATCAATGAGTGTGACATCAGTCCTTGCAAGAATGGAGGAAGTTGTACTGTAAGTTAACACTACTGCTACGACTAGTCTGAAAAGAGGGCTTTGTGTCAATTGTTAAGATACACCATAAAGATTCCTAAATAGGGTGGGTCTTTCTTCAACAGGACCTTGAGAACAGCTATTCCTGCACCTGTCCACCTGGCTTTTATGGTAAAAACTGTGAGCTGGGTGCAATGACTTGTGCTGATGGGCCATGCTTCAATGGAGGACGATGTACAGACAACCCTGAAGGTGGATATAGTTGCCGTTGCCCAGTGGGTTACTCTGGATTTAACTGCGAAAAGAAAATTGACTATTGCAGCTCCAGTCCTTGTGCTAATGGTAAGCCAAACCGGTACCTGTATTTGATTACTCATTCAGGTTAATAGTCATTTTGCCATAAACATCCATGGGAAATGAATGACCTTCCTGCTGCAGTTGACTTAACTTCTAAGGGGAAGTGAGTAAACTTTTTACTGCAGTTCACTTGACATGCTATAATGTGAGGTCTTGATTTAATGGAGGAAGAGAGATCCAAGCAGAGCTGAACACTGCTAAGCCACACTGGTTTCTGTGGGAGAGAAGCAGCAGTTTGTGGGTGGGTGTCTTCAGTTCAGAGTAAGCCTCACACTGTTCAGTGATTCTTAAGCAATTCTGAAGCTGTTATGCAGCCTTTTATAAAACTGCCAAACTAGTAAGAATGCAGCCAAAACCAACCCAATGTTCTCCTGTTTGGAGAACTGACTTTGGCATTTCTTAAGGAGAGGGATGTGTTTAATATGGATGGCATTTTTGTGATAACATTCCCGAGAAGTTTTATCTGCCTTCCCCAGCTTCCTCTGGTCATGTTGGATTTCAATTCTGATAGTTCCCCAATTCAGCCACCATTGAGCATGCTGGTTGAGGAATTACGGGAGATGAGGTTCAGCTTATCTGGAGGGCATCAGTTTCAGAAAAGCTGAGTTATATGTCAGTTTTATTTGTTTCTTCCTTTTTGAACTAGGCTAAAGGCAGGTTCCAAAAAGAAACCTAAATACAAAATGTCAGTATGAAAATTAAAGTCAATATAACTGCCAGCTGGAATGTTCCAGTCATTGTGCAGTAGGGTGTACCCAGACTAAAATTTGTCCACCCCTTTGTTTGAAATAGTCCTAGAGGCTTCTAAGTTTTTTAACTTGCCATTTGAAAGTCTGCAGCTTTATTTGTCAGCCTACCTGTGAAATGATGCCATGAGAGCCTGGAATCATGTTTGTAAGATTTTAGTCCTGTATGCCCTTATATGTGGGAATAACTCCCAGATTTCCTTTTAAGTGAGCCTTCGTAGGACATAGCTCTTTTCTCCAGCAAAAATATTGTGCTTATGAATGTGATGCCTAATGCAACCAGTCCCCACACAGAGCCCACTAGATGTGTTGTGTCTCAGGCTGTCTGATTGGTGATGAGACTGTTCAACTGTTCCTGAAGTACCAGATTCAATGACACTGACTTTGATGAGTCAGTTCATCCTTTTCAGTTAAAGCAAGTAATAACAATGTTTTCTTGGATTCTCTGCTTCAATCTGTGGGTGAAACGTTACATATTTGGAAGTTTCTTACACATTGGTCCTTTCCCCACAGTATTCTGGTGGGTTCTCATAGCAGTCACATTTGAGAAGTACGGAATCCCACCCAGTGCCTTCAGGAAGTGCTTGGGAACCCAAAGGCCACTGGCAAAGCTGTGTTCCTTTCTCTTTGCCTAGAGACGAAGCAGTGAGGGAGGCTTGGGCACTTGGAAGGAATACTGTGTGCTGCTAGCATTTATGGTGCATTCTGTAAGGGAGAGGTTAGCTTTTTCAGGGGCACGTTCCCTCCTACTCTTGTTCACAGGGTAGTTGTGCAAAATAGGGCAGTTGAATAGGATTTGGTCTTCCCACAATGTGATAATGGAGTGGAATTAGTTTAACCCTATGCAAGACTGGGTCTGATTTGGGCTAAATGTAACCTTGGAGTTAGTTAAATGACTCAGTTAACCCCTTTTTGGTGTTCCCATAGCACATTAAACCCCACTTTGATCTAATTAAGAGTGTTGTGGGAACAGGTTGTAGAAAACAAGAAGTTAAGGGGAAAAAGATAATCTTATCTTTGCAGTGTCCTGGGAATTTTGTTTTGTTTGTTTCATGTATGAAAAAAAAGCATCTTTTGTGTTGTGTACAAAAATAGCCTGAGGTAGCACAGTTCAGGATAAATGCTGCCACGTGGTCCTGCTGTGTACTTAAAGTAACCTGAAGGTTTTGTTTTGTTCTGTTTTAAGGCTTTTGGTCACTTATTTGGCTCTTCTTTGTTTGTCCAATATTATGTTAATCAAGTACAAACCCCTGCAACGTATAAAAGCAGCCTGACAAGTGACCTGATTTTTAAATACACCAAACATCCCTTCGTTAGAATAATTGAACCCTCCCTTTAAAGAAATAGCCATCAAAAAATTCAGACTGATTTTCATACAAACAATATGATTGACTAGAAGAAGAGTCACCTACGTTGTGCCAAAAGCGAAAAGCACTATAACAGTAAGCTGCGAAGTACTTACTTTGTAAATCCTGGTCCTCATGAATCCACAAAAATTTGTGGATGACCTTAAGCGGCCGCTGTCTCTTATTCTTTGTTGGCTTGTTGTAAAGATGAAATAGGCAGCACTTTCCTCCTCCTTGGATAGGATGCAAAGATAATAGATCATCCATAGCACTGTCAGTCCCTGTGACCAGTCCCTCCTATTTATCATTGTCCTATCCAATACTGTGCAGGAGCTCAGTGTGTTGACCTTATGAATTCCTACATATGCCAATGTCAAGCTGGCTTCACGGGAAGACACTGTGATGATAACATGGACGACTGTGCTTCCTTTCCTTGCCTAAACGGAGGGACCTGCCAAGATGGAGTCAACGACTATTCTTGCACCTGCCCCCCCGGATACAATGGGAAGAACTGTAGCACTCCTGTCAGCAAATGTGAACACGGTCCCTGCCACAATGGGGCTACTTGCCATGAAAGAAACAACCGTTACGTGTGTGAATGCGCACGTGGGTACGGGGGCCTCAATTGCCAGTTCTTGCTTCCCGAACCCCCTCAGGGGGCAGTTGTTGTTGACATCACCGAGAAGTACGTAGAAGGTCAGAGTTCCCAGTTCCCTTGGATTGCAGTCTGTGCTGGAATTATCTTGGTCCTTATGCTCCTGCTGGGCTGTGCCGCCATCGTTGTCTGTTTTCGTCTCAAAACACAAAAGCGGCAGCCTCAGCAAGATGCCTGCAGGAGCGAAGTTGAGACCATGAACAACCTGGCCAACTGTCAGCGAGAGAAGGACATCTCCATAAGTGTCATTGGTGCCACCCAGATTAAGAACACTAATAAGAAAATAGACTTCCACAGCGAAAACGCTGACAAAAATGGCTACAAAGCCAGATACCCGTCAGTGGATTACAATTTGGTCCATGACCTCAAGCACGAGGAGACTGTCAAAGAGGATCATGGCAGATGTGAAGCTAAGGGTGAAACGTATGATTTGGAAGCAGAAGAGAAAAGTACAGTACAGCCCAGAAGGTATGGGGGCAGTGAAGGGGCATGGCTGAATGGGCCAGGCCTTTAATTTGCCAAATGTGGGGGCGTATTGAAATGGGTTGCAAAACCACCCCCTCATCTGATTTTTTTTCTTTGCAGTGAAACATCTGAAAGGAAACGGCCAGAATCGGTATATTCCACTTCAAAAGACACAAAGTACCAGTCAGTGTATGTCATATCAGAAGAGAAAGATGAATGCATCATAGCAACGGAGGTGGGTATATTCTCTCCCAGGCTCAAAACCCAAGTCTGCTGATCAGGTTTCCCACCCAATTGCACTAATTGGATCATTTCCTCTCATACAATTCTGTTCTTTAAATTTGCTCCAATGGAAGCCTTAATGATGGTTTATTTGCTTTGTAGGGTGAGTTAGTAGGGCAATTTCAAAATTACTGCCCATGAGACTATGAAACTTCCCCATAATAATATGTGGTAGTATCATCATCATCATCACCACCACCAAAGTTTTTATTGGTTAACAGATTCCTCAGTCTTCCAGATCAGCCCGATAAAACGTATTAGACCCCTGTCCACACAGGAATTGAATGGGGCGGGCGGGGGAAAATAAAACCACTTTCCTTAAAAGTGCCTTATCTGGAGTAGATTCTTGATTGCCCCAGTGATCCAATGAATACCTTTTTATGTCTTAACGGGTGTCCTTGGATGTTTTTTTTTTCACCCCGCCTCCCTTCTGAACTCTTTGCAGGTGTAAAAGAAAGATGATACGGCAAAACTATTGTTTTGAACAATTTTCAAAGGTGATATGCCCCAATGAATGCTGCTGAACAAGGAAAGGGAGAAAGATTCCTTCACTGACTGCTGCTGAGAAACTAAATTCAGGCTGAGCTGGTTCTCTACTGAAATTAGCAAAAGGGACTGCAAATAATACATGGTGGACACTAGGTCAGGCTCTGTGTTCAAAGATACCTGTTGCACTGCCTTTTATGAAGATTTATCATTGCACTATGGCCAGTTGCTTTTTTCCTATATGTATTTAAATGAACGGACTGAATTCCTACATAAGAAGTGTGCACTGCCTGGAGTGTGTATTTTGGATTCTTACGAGCCAGTCGATTCTCGAGATACAGACACTGCCTTTATTGTCCTTTTTTATACTAAAATGTGTTTTTATTAGGTGGGGAAAGAAAACGTGTTATTTTTTTTAATCTGTAAAAAATTATTTTCAGGATATTTGTAAAGCTTGAGTATTTTGTGATTTTTTTTTAATAATTTAATTTTTTTGGTAAATATGTACAAAGGCACTTCGGGT